CTGCTTGCATTTGTAAACAGTGCCACAGTCGTCGAAGAACGTTGCATCATTTGCCGCAAAATCTCAAGGTTTTCATAGATTTCACAAGGAGATAGTTAAGTCGTACTCTTTTCTCAATCGAAAGAATGGCTGCAAGAAACAAATAGCTTTAAGCTAGCTTTAATTTAATAGTTGCGCAGCACCGTTTGCATGCAAAGAGGCGGACAATCCTCTTGGCCCAAATCCATTGAGCTACTGCACCTGGTGTTTTATGAAAGCTTTAATCGGCGGCAAGTATTAAATGTTAAGCCACCAAACGAAGTGTATATACATAATATCTTAACGGGGATGGTTCAGTACCTTTCAATTCAGGCCAAAGCTGATATTGAGGAAGGCCCAAATATTGAACAAAGTTCCTAAAGACACCGGAAATCTGTCAAGCCTGACGTTATTCAAGAAAAAACAAAGTCACTCGTAAATACCCTCTTCGAAAAATTGTATTTAATCAAATTCTAAATGTATTTTTTTTAATTATGGCGACTCGTATTAATCTTGTATCAGTTCATCTTGAGTAAAGTTTATGCAATTATTTTCTAATTATTTAGCCATTTCAACCAAATTTAACATTTATTAAAATAATTCATATTCAGTGATTTGGAAACATCATAAACGAAGGCCTTGACTCTATCGTAAAATATTAATAGAAAACTGTACTTCCGCAAACATCCGTGAAAAGAGCAAATAAAATGATGAAACTCCGGGAAAATTACTTTGCATGTCACGCAATTGTAACTTACTGGAAATCGACAATTGAGTAAGAATCTTGAAATATCCAATAAGGTTAACCGATAATAGTAAGACGGCCAAAAAAATTAGCCATTTGGCTCAGAAATTGACAAATTTTACCCGTTAGCCGTACGAAAAGTTAACCGTATGGAAAATTTCTGGTGACCACAATGGAAAGGTATTAACTGTTTATAGCCGTAAATAGGCCAAAATTGTCAACATTAACCGTAAAAATCCATCATTCCACTAAGATCCTCAACCTTGGGATGGCAATTGTGAATTTTCTCTA